ACTATATACTCTGGAAATTCAATACCCCAAATCAAGGCTATTAAAGATAGAATCTTTTTTCCCCAAAGAAATATCATATTTGAAGTTTGAAAAGACCTCTTTTCTTTCCATATGGAAAATGTTCAAGTTCCATAAAGCATAAATGGTGGCAAAAATGATACTTTGAATACAACCACAGAGTAAAACTTAAAGCAGGAACTCCTAAGAATGTGCCCTAATTTCTAAAATTTGACTGAGATCAGCCTTGTCTTTCTCTCAGTGCTTATGTTTTGGATTTTGAGTGGGGGTGAAGGGGATTGAAAATCAGAACAGAGAATATTTCATTTCTGATGGCAAATACAATCCTGTCTCCTTCTGGATTAATTTCTAAAAGTATTTTTCTTCTCCTCCTTTTCATTTTTAACCCCAAATTGAAAACACATTACACAAAATTTGTGTCTTGCATTTCCCACTTCGCATGTTCCCATGTCTTCATGGACTCCCCAAGCTTTACATCTTAGTGGCTACATATGACTCCTACGGGGATATCATTGAACTGGCTTTCTGCTCTCGGGGTTTTAAACTATCTCTAAGCTTTTGATCTGAGGCTGGGATGAAAATTCCTGATGCGCAATTATGGTCGCATCTCAGGTTATTATTTTAGAGTAAATGCCTAGAAGTTGATTTACTAGTTTAAATAGTCTGACCATTTGTGTAGTTATAGATATTAATACACGTTTATGACATCTAGAAATGTTTTGCTTCTTATGTTTCCAAACAACTTTTTCTCTTGTGGGTTCTCCACTATTTTTATGCTTAGAAAAGCCTTTCCCCTTTAACATAACTACCGAGATATTTTCTTTTAGTTCTTTCCCATTTTTACAACTATGTATTTAAAACACCTGGAATTTATTTTTGGAATGGTATGAAGATGATGATTTAATAACTGGTAGCATGAGAGCCCATTAATCATTATTTCCAAAATGTTCCTGCCCATTTTTCCAGATTAACTTTTAAAATCACATTGTTAGACCCCTCTCTAAACCCCACCCCCCAAAAAAACCAAACCAACTCATTTATATCATTACTGAAACTGCACTGAACTATTAATAAAAACCAGGAAAACTATACTAAAGAATGTTAAAAAGTGAGGCTATCATATCTTATAGATGAGGTTCACAAAAATATTTACACATCTCATTTTATTACCAGTACTTTGGCTTTCTGTTTTCCAGTGGGTTAGAGAAATAACCTTCTATTTATACTACTAAATATTTAACTGAATATGGGTTTTGCATTCTGTCAATTGGAATGTTTTGGGACAATGTGTGTGTGTGTATTATGCTTTACCTACCCTATAGATAGACCTGAAATGTAAACAGATATCTTAATGATAAGTCATCTTTTAATCCTTGGCAATAGTTCTTCTCATCATAGTCTCTTTCTTTTAAATGTGATAGTGATCTGGTGAACATTTACACAGAAAATTGTTTTTCCATTCAACGATTTATACAATTTTGCTTCAGGATATTGATTGCGATCTCTACGATATAACAGCTTTACCCACGTCTTCCCAATTGTCACCATTTCCATTTGTCCTTTTTCCCTGTTCCTGTGTGACTCCTTATGCCAGTGAGTTTTGTGTGGGTAACCAGCATTCCACCCCTCAGCAAATGCTGCCCATTTGACTGCCATCGCTGACTGTTCCAAGCAGTGGAGCAGTCCTTGCGATTATTTAATGTACTGATCGTTTTCAGTTGCTTGTGTGTTGGTTCAGTTTTTTCATATATAAATATTTTTCATCTGGAGTCTTTTTGAAGATAACCTTTGTATAAATTTAAATAGCAATGATTACTATTTTTAACTAACGTTCAATTTCTTTATTCCACGTATACTTTTCCTCAGCATCATTTATTTGGAGATTTCCAAATGTGAGGGTGGCACCAAGCCCAGCACTCTAAGTCATTAAAATTGCAATTGATTGTGAAAGTATTTGGTGGTGCTCTGTGCTACTAACTAGCTGTTAAGAGCAACTTCTTGTGCACAGACCTTGAAGCAGACTGCTACGGCTTCTAATCATGCATTCACTAGAAAGGTCATCGTAGCCCCATGGCGAGAAAGAATCCACTCAATGGCGATGGATCTGCTTTGCTTTTGGTTTGGATCTACTGGAGTTTAAAAATTCATTTTGAAAATACTAATGTTTCAGAAATCAACCTGGTAACTAGATCCAATCTTAGGAAATTACATACTATCTAGGTTGTATTTCCCTAGATGACACTGCTATGTTTTACATTGTTACATCCTCAGCACTATGTGAGACAGAGCACTTCAAAGTAAATTCAAGTGTGTAACAGAGAAGGAACTAAACAAATTCAATGTTAGAAACTAATTTTTAATACAATGGAAATATAAATTATGTAACCTTATAGGAATTAGAAAAACAAACACTTTTTAAAAATGTGTTTCTTTTTAGAAATGATAATCCAATTGTGGCAAAACTCACTAGTTGTATAACTACTATTCATGCATCCTTGGTATGTATGTGTGTGTGTGTGTGTGTGTGTGTGTGTGTGTATGTATATATATATAGTCATTTAAATGCATTTCCATATTATATATAAGTGGAGATAGAAAGCTTATCCAAAATGTTAAATAGCTTTAATTTTGACTCCTATGATTTACACTACCCCATAATGACTCATCAGTCAGTAAGAACCAAGCCCACTAACATTGAGTCCATTCAAGTCCACAGTGACCTGATACAGCGTTGTGGAGGCTATAGATCTTTATGACAGCAGATAGCTTAATCTTTCTCCCATGGAGCTCCTAGTGGGTTTGAATCCTTAACCTTGCAGGTAACCTAGTGGGTTTGAACCCTTAACTTTGCAGTTAAGCTTATCCAATAGAGCTACCAGTTCTCACTTACTTGTCAAGAGATGCTATTATTATACAGAGAGCATCCACTTAATGGAGGATGTCCCCTCCACTCACTTCATCCCCTGGAATTTAAGAATTCATTTTGAAATTCGACTAAGTTTACATTTTCTCTTCCAACGACCATACACACACACATCGTATATACACACATATACATATCTGAAGCAGTTCTCTGTTTTCTCTTTTTGAAATACTTGGATAAAGAGAAAGATGAGCGGATTATACATTTAAAGAAAAAGGCTAATGCAATTCATCCATTCTCTTTCCCTCTCTTCTTCTCTCCCACACACATCCTTTCAGCAGAACCATGAGAATAATTCTTAGCAGACAATGGAACCGAACCGATATCCCCGGGGCACAGGGAGAGGTTAAGAGAGAAGCAGCAGCAGCTAGAAGCATCATACCTGCTTTCCATCCAACGTGCACAGCCTCTTGACCACTCCTGAGTCGAGTTTAATGGCTTCGGTGATGTCTGTCAAGACCTGCTCGAAGGAATGCGCAGTCTTTTTGTTCAGAAGGATCCGCACGGCTTTTCTGGGCTTCACTCCACTTCGAATCACAGTCACTAACTTGGGTTTGATGAAGTCTTTACTTTCTTTTGCTTCACTTTTCACAGACGCAGCAGCAGCCGCCAAGGATCGGGTTGCCCCACCCTTGATGTTCACTGACCAGTTCGGATTGATATTTTTAGTGTAATCAACTTTACGAAATGGCTCGTTGGATGCACACACGTAACTCTCACCTAAAAAGTAAAATCAGTTTTATTAGTCTGGTCATCCTCAACACAGACGTATTAAGTGGAATCCTAAACTTAAGTCACCGAGAAGGGATTTACACCCTCTTTCTTTGGCCGGTCCCAGCCCCCTCTTTATAGGGGCACCTCCACTGGCTCTGAGAGACTAACAGGAATTAGAGCGTGAACAACACTGGACTAAGAGAGGCTGACTCGGGTTCTATTTTGTCACTGAATGGGTGACACTTGGGCTAAATCACTTCTTCGCATTTTGGGTCTTGGAATCATTATCTGTAAAGTGAAGTGGTTGAACCAGCTGAATTCTAAAATACTCTTTAGTTCCAAGGGCTTATTAACCGTTCTAATTTAAATGTCTCATTTTAGAAAATTGTATCCCAAATAATATATTCATATGAAGACATAAAATATATTTTTTCACCCCAATTATGGATTTCAGTCCTATTCAAAGAATAATCACTATAAGTCATCACATAAGTCATTAAGTTAGATTCCGTTAAGGCAGGGGTCCTCAAACTTTTTAAACAGGGGGCCAGTTCATTGTCCCTCAGACCC